GTCACAAAGGAGACGGACAGGTCATCAAGGAACCACTCTGCCGTGATCACGGAGCTGGGGAGCGGGATGGGCGGCAAGATGTATGACGTAGCAGTAACTGTGCCCGCGCTTCTAGGCAGGTACCCAAAGTCACCTCAAGAAGGTGTCAAATGCTTGTGCCCACGTGCTCATCACCTGACATGTATTTAAGAGAAATGAAAACCTATAAAAGGACAATACCTTTGGTGGGCACACTTCCAAAGTGCAAAGCCACAGTTTGACAACTGGCCATCTTGGTTCCCTGGGATTCATTCTTGAAGAACCTTAAAAACCACTCCTCTGTCCTCAAGAAGTGCTGCCTACTTGTCCTATCTTTGGCTCAGGGATACAGCACGTTCACGTGAACTTTAAAGTCTGCACAGATTTGACTGTCTTTCTCCAGGTTCACTTGTCCATTTTGAAGAGGTCTAAGTCCATCCTCTGTAAGATCAATTCCCTCCAATGAAAACTCATCGAGCCTGCAATTAAAAGCCAACTGAACAGGAATGTCCTCAGCTAAAAATGTCACCCACCCTTCACTGCTTTCTTAATTTCCTTTCCTGGCTAATTGCAACAGACTAATACCACCCTCCACCCAGCTCCCCAACTATGTGAAACAGAAAGTAAGGTCCATAAAAGAGGAGACAACTCCATAGTCACCTCTGAATTCCTAGCACATACTAATGTAATTAAATAGAACTATGATTATGGCTTCTTTCCTTTAAAACCTTTCTGGTTATTTAAATGAGACCATGGAAGGGACGTGTTTGGGTCCAATATCTTGATCCAGAAGACTCTGGAGGCCTTTTTCGGAATGACTGCTCACTGATTCATTGAAAACACAACTTCTCATTCTGGGAGGAGCTGTGATTTTTCTGCCAGGAGTTTGTGGTCACTCTCATGCCATAACAGCTTTAAACCAAATCCTAACTTTGTATTTGTTATTTTTCCCCGCTTCCAAAAAAATTGACTTTCCTTAATTTCTTGCCGTGAGGAATGATTTTTTCTTTCTTTCTAATTCACCCTTTATTACACAGGCTTCTCAGGATGTTCTTGGCCTTACATAGGATGAGCCATCCAATTCCCAGTGTGAGAGGCCTCGGGCTCAACTCCTGCCCTTCTGCCAGGGCAACTAACACTCAGTTCAGGAGCCAACCGGCACCCCAGGGCTTCTAAGGCTCGCATATCTCCCAGAAACCCTGCTTTATGGTTTGATTTGGCTTCTGAGGATTTCCCCTCACTTTCTTCACAATTAGCTGTGCAGCTTGAAAGATGAGGAAGGAAGGTTTTATTTCTTAATCAGCATTTTAAGAAACTTGTGTAATGAAGGTTTTCACGAGTTTCTAGAACCCTCCATTGCCAAGACAGAAAACACAATAGATATTTTCTAAATTTAGGTATCATGTGCATTTTTTCTTTGCTTTTGTTTTCTTAACTACTAACAGACATTTTTTAATTAAAAAAAATAAGGCCCCAAATAGGATAGAAACTTGAAGGGGCAAACAAAATTTAAGGGCAAAGACAGAAACATGATAAGTACTCTACTAAGATAATAGAATACATACACTATGGATCAGATCAGCAATTCTCAGTAACAGCTAATTGATACATGACCATGAGGTAAAACTTCTCTCCTGTCAGGAGATGGCCAACAGAAAATAGAATTAAAACAGCAAATTAAAATTCTAAGTCTGGCGAGGTATAGAAGGCTACCAGCTTAATGTGTCTTCTTCTGGAAAAGAGGGAGACTCACCAGCTCTTTTCTGTGGAGCCTGAGCCCACTGGAGGACGGTGAAGTGACCTCTGTAAGTACCCAATTAGCAAAGTGAGTGATGAATAAAGAGACGTGAGCTTTGATGACAGAGATGATGCTACTATTCACTTGTCCTGTAAAGTATGTCTTCACGTTCACTGATCAATACCTCGGCATCCTCAGGGATTGAGATTATAGGAAAATGCACAGCCCGGGCCAAGACCTCCTCTGTGAGCTCGTGACACTGCACTTAGATGTCTCAAGGGTACCTCCAACTCTACCTGCACAGAGCTGACTTCACGGTGCTCCTCCCATAGCCGTCCTGCCCAGGGCACCTGGGCGGGGGCAAGGTCTCCCTTCCTCTCCCAGTTCAGACCCATCACTCACAGATGTGACTGGACCCCTCTTTCAGGATCAGATTTCCTCAGTCACCGAGTCCCACCACCCTCACCTGACCTACCAGGTACTCACTGGCACTCACTCAGCACTGACTGTGTGCTGGGGACCACGCTGCACACTGTGCACACGTTATCTCACTGGATCTCCACAGCAGTCCTGGGAATTGGGTACATCACTGCTTCAATTGATTAGATAAATTGTTTCACTTCCTTGAGTGCGTCATCCAAAGTGACATGGCGACTGAGTCACATACCTGGGACTGAAAACCACTTGAAAATTGAACACTGCTACACCTCGCAGCCACCCTACTCTGACTCATCACATCACCTCCTGCCAAGCCTACTGAAAGTTTGCAAGCATTCTACAAACACAAAAGTGATCTACGAGAGCACCCCACTCCCCTACTTAAAATCTGTCACTGATGGTCCACTGCCCTTACGAGAAAGCCCCACCGGGCCTGAGCACAGCCCAACGGCCCGGCATCCGCGTTCCCTGTGCGGCCGCGCTGCCTCACCCACCACGTAGCTCTACACGTGCCGTGTCCGGACAGGGATGCTGACTCCGTACAACCCGGGGCTCATCTCACTCGAACAATGATCACCCTCTTCAATGCTGAGTCTCAGAAAACTGTTATCTCAGGTTGAATCAATATCTTTTCCCTTACAACTTCCCGTCATTGATAATGAGAGCCCCCCAAAAGAGAGAAGATTAAATTCTCAGTCTCCTTATCTGTAAAGTGGGAATAACAAGGAAATATGTGAGGTTTTAAGTGAAATAATATTCATGTGAGGCTGAGGGACAATTCTCAACATACAGTAAGCACTCAATATGTGCTTACTTAGTATTAATAAGAATATGTTGCATTCCAGCAACCTTAAATCAATGTTTTATGGCTTTGTCCAACAGACGACTGACAAGCTGTTGGACGAACCCCTTTGAGCAGATCAGCACAAGCGTACTGGGAGAGGTAAGCACGGACTCCAGTTACAGCTGCAGCCACCCAGCACTATGGGGCGGGGGTAGTTTGCACAAACTCTTACATGTTTCTTGAGCATTTAGTTGTCATTAATGATTAAAGACAGGTGTTCTTTCGTCAAAGCTCATGAAATATAAATCTTCAAAGATTGATGCAAATTAGATTTCAAGTACAACACTCTCACTAGAAATTATTTTAAAATTATAGCCTTAGCTCCTCTGCACATCAAAAGGGCATGATCTTAATCTATCTGATTACACCAAAAGTGTTGTTTAAAAGAAATTAAGATGAAGCCATCCTAAATAAGCTCTCAGTATCATCTGCACAAAGCCCCACCCAAGAGTCTCATTTCTCACATACACATAGGTGTTCAGGTAGCTTAACCTGGGTCTTTGTTTCTTATAACACGGGGGTAGGAAGAGTTGTGGATAGATTTATGTAGCAAATATAAACTTAGGGTATTTGCTGTGAAGGAATACTAGAAATACTCAAATTGATATATAGTCCTACCAGCAAGAAGCTCAGTCTTTCCATTTACAACAGCATTAAAAATAAAATGAGAGATATATTTAACAAAATTTTACAAGATTTGTACATTGAACATTTAGAAGTATCACCAAAATAAAATTTAAAAGATCTACATATATGGAAGGCATACCATGTTCATGGAATGGAAGACAATATTGTTAAAAATGTTAAGACTCCCCAAATTGATTTACAAATTCAGTGGAATCCCTATCAAAATTCCAGGTGACTTCTATACAAAAATTGAAAAACTTATCCCAAAATTCATATGGAAGTGCAAGGAGCCTAGGTCAGCCAAAACAATCTTGAGAAAGTAGAGCAAAGTTGGAGGACTCACTTTAAAGGATACTAAAAAGTTATAGTAATAAGTCAGTATGGTACTGGCATAAGTTTGGATAAATAAATCTATGAGACACAATAAAAACCCAGGGGGAAATAATTTACATTTACAGTCAGTTTTCCACAAGGGTGCCAACAACACTCCATTGAAAGAAT